TATTGAAACATCTTTTGCAAAACCAAAAAAAGGCCAGCTTGATTATAATATTTTTTATATTTTATCAAATAAAAAATGGCATGCTTATATCGACTAGGCTGATGATTCTAATTTCGAAAATATATATATATATATACACATATATAAATATATTTATGGACCGGAAGTTTCCTCACTTCGGTAGAAAGCTCTGACGGAATTTACATTAGCCTGCGAGGGTATAAAAAATGTAGACGTAGTTTTGGTAAGTGTATGCTGAAGCTGATTTTTGCCAAAAATGACTAATAGGCATTTGAAGGTAAAGAATAGATGGTTCGCAATAAACTTGGCGTTTTTATCAGAGAGCACAGCGTGACACTATAGACCCTAAAAACTTTAACAATTTCAACCGAATTTTAAGGAGTTCTCGGATTTCTATCGGTTTGACTGTAAGCGGCAAAGGGTGCACTGGATTGCGGAGTTCCTCTTGTGAGAGTGTTAATGGTCTATTTATGTAACTATCCTAATAAAATAAAAAAAGTACGGCCCAAAAGTAATGAGCTACTGGTAAAAGGGGTGACCTCTGATCCCGCTTTTCGGACACTTTACATTTTAACATTTTAAACCCTAGACGAACATTAAAGAGTGTTCGTTTAGTTGAAATGTTGCACTTTTACGACCCTTAAGAGCGCTGTTTCATGAGCGCCATAATGCTTGTGACATCATAAAGAGTAGCTCTTGAGCTTTGAACCGACGCTAGATCTAGGAGTTCCTCCGGGAAGGCATCGACGTCCTAATTACCCCTCCCGAAGCTAAACTTTCCCTGGGGCCGTTGTAAGCTAATCACCTGCATGCAACCGGCAATTACAACGCCTGTTAATAGATCCGATTTACGCGTGCTCAGCCCGACGCCTGATTACGGAATGAAGACATTATAGAAAGGCGTGCCGGTGGCGGAGGAGAGCCTCCTCTGCCGCCTCTGCTAACCCCATATGGTCATAAGGCCAAGAAGGAAGCGTTCTGGCCACTCGATGCTACCAGCCAGCAGGCTGCGGCAGAACGGCTTCTCATTTCATGCGCATTTAACTAATCTGTCATCTAATCCGTGGCTGCATCTCGGAGAGCCTGAGGAGGCAGTGCCAAGACACCTTCTACTGCCTCTGCTGCAGTGCAGAAAGTGCACTTCTAAAAAAATCGATTAAAACAAAACAGGAAAGACTTCTGCATCTTTGGGATACCCACTTCCCAACCTGTAAATAGCTGTTTGGTTAAAAAGAGCTGCAAACAAGTGTTTCAAATTTTGCATAATTATTTATTTTATTTATTTATTGTATTCTGTACTTAAATAATTAAAAACCAACTCAGTCAACATTTTCAATACTCAGGTTGATACTTTTAGAAGCACATGTGTTTACCATCTCACGTAGTGATATATTCAATCCCAATAGTTTATGCAGAGTAAAAGTTAGTAAAATTGCATAAGCATATTAGTGTAGGTAAACTAATTCAGCATTTATAGTGTGTAGTCTGAAGCCTATTTATTGTGCGTATCTACGAAGGCATATATATTGCATCGAATAACGGACAGTGTAAACAATCCGAGTCTTAGTTGCAGAGAAAAGAAACAATTAACTTGTGTCATAAATTCGACAACAAAGCCAGCCGCTCCTAGGCAGGAAACGCTTTAGTTACATTTTCTTAATACAAGTTCTTGAAAGCAGTTTCGATTCGCTAGCCTCCGCTTGTCCAACAGCCGATAATAAAAGACTGACAGTCTGCTGGTGTTTTGTCCCGACTATTATATTTCACAGAGGAGCGATGCCAGCCGACGTGGCTCTTCTGACTGCTCTTTCGCTGGACCTTATCAGTGTTCATTGTTTGCCCATTTTCCAAATGGAAACCGAGCTCCCACAGCAGCCGAAGTATCAGCAACCGAAACGGAACAGTGGCCAGCAGCAAGAAGATTTAATAATACCCCATAGTTCGAGCGGAAGAGATTGCTTCGGGGCTTGACTTGCTTTAACCACTTCCACCCACACAGAAACAGACGTAGCTCCAGAACCTTCTACTCAATTGGAGCACCACTTATCCGAATTGAGTTTGCGTGAAATTATATGAATATTTATCACTAACAAATTTATGATTGAATTTTATTTAATTTTTCGGAAGAAAGTCGAATCCTCCGAAATCTACATAACCTAAAGAATTGGAAGTGCAAATATACAAGGATGCATTTGTGGGCATCACTGTTCATTTTCACAATTTTGTAACAACATGTGATATTGCAAGCTAAATCAAACGTGGAAAACTATTTTTAAGGCCTATTCCGTGGCTTTAAAGGTTTAATAAAAGGCTTCTCCTAAACTTTGGCTAGAATATTCAACGAAAAACGAGCCGGAAAACAGTGTTCCCACCGCCTGGTTCGCCCTTCAATTGGCCAGTCAATGCGGGCCTCTTCTTTCTTGGTGATTAGCTCCACCCTGAAGTATTTTTACAACTTGCAATTAAACACGAGTTGGGTCCAGGCTTCTCCGCGTCTCCAGCTTGTTTCTGCCTGCCTTCTCTATTTATGGCGCTAACATTACTCAGACGCATGTCGCTGCCTACTGGCTTTCTGCTTTTGTTGTTGCTGGCCGTACTTGAGCCGAGCGGAGACAAGCAATTACAAAAACACAAACCTTGGCTTTGGCTTTAACTTCGACGTGGCAGCCGCAGCTCTCGCCTTTGCCTTCGCCAGCGGCTTCTCTGTTGGCATTGCGTGCTGCGCAGGCGCACAGCCATTGCTTCTTTTTATGTTTTTATTTTTCCCAGTCTCTTACTTCGATTTTCCGCGCCGGCTGCTAATGTTGGCCCCTCCAATTTGCCATATTTATTTTGTTTTATTGAAAATAATAGCAGTGTTCGCTGGACTGGCTGACCGAGCAACTGAATGATTGAACGAATGAATGCGCGTTAGTCTTCAATAATTGATTGTGTTTTAAAGTTTTAAGCAAATGGATAATTTGCCAGTGAGCCTTGAAGGCCTTTGGGCTAATGAAGGTTTAGGAAGCGCAGAACTTGGCGCTAGTCAAACCCAACAGGCGGACCTTATGATTGAACTCGTCGAGTGTCGTTGTACGAAAATGATGTAAATAATAAAAAAAAATCAATCAACAACCACTGAGTTAAAAAAAAACTCCGTCTGACAAGACGGCAATTGCTTGGTTGCCGCATCTTTTGAGCAGCTAGCAACCAGTTTTATGATTCAGCCCAGGGCCCGACCTTCCCCCAGCTTAATTTATGCTGAGCTTTATTTACTCGCTTATAGCATAAAACTAATTAAAAAGCCTTGACGCTTGGTTATTAAACCAAAAAAAACTCACACATATTCGTTTATTGTCGTTAAAAAGTTGATAAATTGTCTTTTCTCGGATTATGCGTCATGAGAATAAAAGGTAATGAGATGGGATTAATTAATCTTTACGACTTACTAAGTTCTTCGTCGAAAAGTCGTCTTACTCACTGTTTAAATTCGTGGAACTTTAGAACCGAACATGCCAGTATTGGGTTCCTATTAAATCTAATAGGAATCTGACACCATTGCAGTTTGGTGTTATTTAAGCCAGCTTATTAACTTAACGTTCAAATTACCTTTAAAGAGTTTATACGCAATTTTGTGTGTATCCATAGATGAGGCAGTGTAAGATCAGCTGAAACACCTGCAGAACCCGCAACTCTCAAACGACTATTAAACTCATGGAATTACTTTCTGAGCAAAACAGTCTTAGCTTAATATACTTCGTACGGGGTAATTTGATTTATGGAGACCTTGCTCTGCCATGCTGAGTACATCCAAGTCATGTTAAGTATATGGCTAACGATGAAGACCCAGGATGGAAAGGCAAGTCGGTTGCACGGCGGAGATAAGCGAGCCAAAATGGCCTTAAAGTGGCGGTTTTCTTAATGAGGCTAAAAAACGAACACAGAAATTGTCACATTTGCCGGCCAGAAGAGAGCGGTTCAGAGGCGACTGGCGACGCTAGACGAGAGTCACTCATGATCCCCCACGATAAAGACAGCCACACCAAAGGCCACTTAGGCCAGAAATGTAACATCAGCCGGGCCGCAGCGGAAATTCAAACTCGGAGATGCATTGATAGATTAGCCGCACTCTTGGCCAGTATCAGATGCATCGGAGTACCATATTCCGTTCCCAGCCGTGACAGGCGTGGCAAGACTATCGATTACCGCCGAGATGTGCGCGTTCCCCCACTCTGCGTTCTGCGAAAACTATTTTTAAACAGCAATGTGCGCCCCGAATGGGTACCCATTGGCCACTCGAAGGCCTCCCTACTCCACTCTTCACTGGCCCTGCCTGTAAAATAAAAATAGCCGCGCTGCGAATGGCGATGTGGTTCGAAGTACCAGGAACTCGCCAACCACTTTCCTTCCAACAACATGTTGCACCGCTCTGTCCTACCAACAAGTCTCTCTGTTTTAGGGACAGATAGACTCGTCTCGGAATGCAGTTCATAAGTATAAGGTTTATGTGATCGGAAATGCTTCCTCCTCACTGTGCAATACTGTGCAACACTGTGCAACACAACCTGTAATAGGTAACGGGCACAAAGGTGCACTCCACTCCTCCAAATGGGGTTCCGCTCGTCTGTCCTAGGGTCCAGCCCCTGGTCCATCGTCCATCCACCGGACCGTCACTCCCCGGGGCTGTCATTAGTGGCGCCGCTTGTTGGCCCACAAACCAAAAAGACCACTGCCATGTACAGCTAGCCAAAGAATCAAAACGAGTTTGTGCTCTTTTCTGGATTCCTCTTCGGCGTTTTGAGGTCCACGCCTTTTGGGAGGTGACTTCGAAATTGAACCGAGCCGCCGGTTGCGAATAGTTGCGGACTGGCCTTCTCTCCAAGTTGACCAGGCCAAGGAGGAAGTCCGTCGCAATTGGCCGGAGGCAACGCCCGCCGGTCCCAAGGTTCGTTGGCTCGCCAACCTCAAAGTCTCCGGGGCTGGATCCGAATTTGAGATCACTGTCATCGAGTTGGTTGTGTTGTCAATAGCTTGAGCATTCAAAGTACTCCTACTACACATAGCTAAATTCTAAAAGTGATTCTCGGCCGCCATGCCCACCTTGAAGCTGCGAATCGGTCTGCCCTCGAGGCGGACCCTGGGGAGCATCTGCATCTGCGGGGCACTGGCCTCGATCTCGGGACTGGCCTACATGCGCTGGAGGCTGGAGGACCGGGTGCGCCAGTCGGAGTGCTACCAGCTGGCCATCCAGCAGCTCCGCCAGCACAGCGGAGCCGTGGGTCTGCTGGGCGAGCCCATCAAGGAGTCCGGCATCAGCCTCTCCAACGAGAAGAACCGCTGCGACGCGGAGAAGGCTCAGATGCAGGTGGCCGTGCAGGGGCCCAAGGACAAGGGCACCGTCTACTTCTGGGCCTCGAACAGCCAGCAGCAGGGCTGGCTGATCGACCGCCTGGAGCTCGAGACGAATCAGCACCCGAACACCCGCTTCCTGCTCAAGAAGCCCCAGAACTTCGCCCTGATGAGCAACGAGGGTGAACCGGAGCCGCCGGGTGCGGAAGCGGCCGACGAGTCCTCAGCGGAACCCCAACCGCCGAAGGAGGCGCCCAAGTCGCAGAAGCAAGCTTTAGGCGGGGAGCAGGAGCCGGCGGCCCATCCCGCCCCCAGTATTCAGAACAATCCCCCGCAGCAACTGCGCCAGCAGTTGAGTCAGGAGCCAGGACCCTTCGTCCATACAGCGGATGGCGGACGGATGCAGTAGCACCCATTTTTTCCAACACCCCTAAGAACACTTAAACACTTTCCAAGTAGTAGGGAGTCAAATCTTCTCCACTACAGAGGAGCCGTAATTTTTTGTGGATTTAGTTCATTCGGAATTGTGAATCCCGGGTTGCGAAAGCAATAGTATGAATCCAACGAAGAGCGTTTAAAGTAAATTTAAAGTTAAATTTAAGTGAGCAAATAAAGGTTTCGAAGAACTGAATAACCAAAAACCGATTCAAATAATGACAGGGTTACTTGGATATTCCACCGAAAACAAATTGTTAGCAAATAGATAGATTAATATTATGCATATATTTAATAAGCAATTAAAAAACGAGAAGAGGATTGAAGCAATAACGGTTTGACATGAAAATCTAAAAAACAAGAAAGGAAGTTAGCTTCAGCGAGCCGAAGCTTATATACCCTTGCAATTCTCAAATTGAATTCATTCATTGATTCCCTGGTTTCCGATTTTTTTAAATTATTGTTTTATTTGAGCGAGTGCGAGACCGAAATGATAACCCTACTCTTGTATCCTCAGGATTCGCTGCAGCATTGTTAATTGAAGCTCGCAAAGCCTACTCTGTACTTATACTCTTCTAGGAAATGGTAAATGTAGAAATAGAAACTGCATTCTACTCGATATCTAACCGGTTTAAGAATCTACATTTTTGTTTGGGACGTAAGTTAAAGACATTTGTGGTAAAAACTTTTTGATGAGAGGATTGACTGTTTTGTTTGCTGGAGATTTTAGATAAACACTTTCTGAAGTTCCTTAAGAGACAATGGTAAATGAAGAAAATGTCTTTCCTTATTTGGACTTCTATTAAAGAATTGACTTTAACCGAAAGCAAACAAACCTAACTGGGAGTTGGAGAAAATGTTATTCTCATTGCTAGATAAAAATTAAGACCCCCTTAAGTTCAAGAACGGTTACTTTTTACTTACTTTTTGTCGAAAAGTATTTTTTTTTAAAGCAATATTAAAATAAGAAATGGCAGAGCTGTGTTAACAAAGATCATTTGACTTTGATGAAGTTGTCCATCAGGTGTTCCCTTACACATCCTTTAAATTATTAATTGTGCACCAAAAATTTATAAATTGAGTATAATTGCGTTTGCCCTGTAGAATAGCGTAATTTGGGGAAACCAAAAAAGTGTGGAATTGAGGAATTTATTTTTAAATTAGTATCAATCACAAAGGCGAGCGCAAGCTATATGATGAAGTCGATCAATTGGCAAAGTTTTCAAACTTACTCTTCGCAGACTCAGCAGCGGGAACTCTTGCTGATTTCTAATAGTAGTTCTGCCTGCGGCTATCATAAAATACAATTATGGGATTATTTGGCCCTTACTTTATGCAAGCACCAGTTTCTTTTTTTATTTGTTAACGTTGAACAGCATAGTAAATGGAAATGCCGAATCTCTAGAGCACCGAGGACAAGACATTATAATTTACTTAAAATCACTTTGGCACAGTCTGGCTCTCAAAAGAATGTCAACAATGACATTGCGTATCACATTGTGGGTTGGGTTTTGTTGCCCGATTTAAGTTTATATGTGAAATAAAATAAATTTTATTTTATGTAGATACTTGCAGTTTATTTTTAGTGCCTCTCTAGCTTTGTTTGAAAAGAATATGTGCGATTGAGATTTAAAAACAAATAACTGACACGTATTTATGGGGACCATGAAAGCATTCAGACCAAAACGACTGGGGATGTGTGGGTCAGACATGCTTTTTGGCATGCAGGCATGCGGAAAAACTAACAAAGTCAACGGTAAACAATAAATCTGTTTTCACATAAGCAAAGCTGCTAGTCTGAAACACGAATAAGTTGTTTCCCAAATGCCAACTTGGTGGTAAGACGCTCCAACCGCTGTTTTCCGAGTCTTTATCGCTTCATTTGGGGCGTTATCTGGGTGCGTGGTAATTAAATTCTTGATTTCTGTAGTTTCTTTTATTACCAGGTTCCCGCCGTTTTTTGTAGAAGTGTTCACCTTCCCGAGATGTTATTAAAAAGATAATCGCAATCTTAGACATTTTATTTTTCTCTCTTGCCTGTTTATTTCGTGGAAATTAAAAAGCGTAAGCGGAAGGGGGGCGGTTGCTACTTCTTGTTACCTTGAAAGTTCAACAAGCCAAGACAAGGAAGCCACAACAGCACTCTAAAGTCAGAAGCAATTAAGCGTTCGCAACGCAAAAACTTGAAGCAGAGGTCACGGAGGTGACCAGTAGTCCGTTGCACTGATGAAGAGGCGCCACTCGGCAGCTTTTGCTTGCGCAATTGAACATGCTGCCGCAAAAGAGTAATTATATTACATATTCGCTTCTTTAAGTGTATTTTGGTAAAAGAAAAAACAGATGATGAGTTTTGCTCATCCATGCGTTTTCAATTTGTTGCTGTGACCAGCGTTGCAGTCACCAATGAGAAAGCCAAAACAGTTTACAATTTTAACAATTTACAATTTAACATGTAATAATTTTATTTTTGCACCACGCTTTTGCCGCGTTTTTACACCCGTTACCCGTGAATAAGTAGAGTTCCAGTAGGCTGTGTTAAAGCTATTACAGATAAACTAGAAGGTTATGACTGAACATGTAAATTATAGTAATGCCTACGAAACGCGAGATGGTTTTTATAAGCACTATCAAACAAATTTTCCTGTTTCGACTTCAAATTTTATGTTATATATTTTTGTTGCACCTTCATTGTTTTACATATTTACAATTATCTATACACAGAATCATAAGATACACATTTTATCCATCTGTAACTATCCTTAACATTTGATGTTTTATAGGTTCAAATATCAATTCTTAATAATTATTAAAATTAGCATATTTATACAGCTCCCGGGAAAATATAATCCTAAGAATAGTTTCCAGTTGCAAAAGTAAAACTTTAACCTGTTAAAATTATGCGTCTGAACTGTCTTAGGATTGTCATCCCCTCACAAGACAAAGAATATTAAAAACAAATTACTAAATCGTTTTGATGCAAGCGAGGAGTTACAAATTTCTGAGAGTTAGAAAAAATTGTGTTTTCGTTTTTTATTTTTATTTATTTTAAATTTAAAAACGTGTTTGCGTTATTTTTCAGTCCGCGGAGAAAAACAATCAAGCTTAGACACATGGGTTTTGCTCAAAAACAGTACAGTAAAAGGCAGACCAAGAGACATTTCGAGAGAAATCTAAGCAAATAGTGTAAAGGTGTCAAGAAGTTTATTGACAAGCAGTCCTCCAGCCGCCAGACATTGGCAGAATTCATAAAAACCAAGTCAGAGCCCCAAGATCTTGAGCAGACCCGTGTAGTTAGAAGGTAGGAAGCAAAAAAAAAAAAAAAAAACAAACGAACTCAAAACGTGACAAAAAGTCAGACAACGCATAAGGGAGAAATAGTTTTTTTGCCTCCTAAATGAGCTACGTGAAAGTTTCCTCAACTGAAAGTTCAGCTCATTTAAATCCAGCTTGACAATGTTGGGTTTCGCCTCTAGTCATAAAAACCGACCAGACCAATCGACACCTATTGGGTTCAAAGTCATGCGGACCGCTCTACATGCAATGCGGTTCAGATTCCGAGTGCTACTAGCGAAAGCCGTATTACACAAAACTAGTTTCTATGTGAGCAGTGAAGTAAGCGATAGGTCGGCACACATCGGAATAGAAGTCACTGTCATTGGCGAGTAAATAGAGCAACAGCGACACTGCAATCCGCTTATAAGGCGAGCAAGCGAGGAAAGCGACCAAGTCGAATGACATAATTACTGAGCGGATCGAAATTGCAGCTGCTCTCTCAAAAATATTTTTAGGTTTAAGCCAGATTAGGGGAATCAATTTGGCCACATTAAGGTTCAATCTCTATTCGTCAACGTTATAGATTTGGTATTTATTTCGTTTGACTAGGGTAAGACGTTTAACAGAGTAAAAATGTTACATTAGTCATTGTCTGCAAAGTATTCTAAAAATAGTTACATTTTGTTGACTACTACCGACTTTTAAAAAAATTTTATTCGGTGGCTATCTTTATGCGTATCTAAACTAAGATTTTAAAAAATGTTAAAAGGCAACTTTGTGTTACTGCAAGGTAGGCAAGCCGAAAAAACTTGACTTACAATTTAATAGCAACACAGAATATTCTTTTTCAATTGCTCATATATTTTTGTAGAGTTTAAAAAGCGTTTCGATAATATCCTTTAAAACTGACCACATAACCCTTTCATGCCCAAATTAATCTGGGGACACATAGAAAATATTTAACGCCATAAACGATTAATAGGAACCCCAAGTAACGTTCATATCGATTTTCGATACTCTAAGTCCTTTGGTATGTCCTTACTGCAATGTTGCCTTTAGGCCTTTGAAAAAATCCACACTCTTTATAAAACAATTTTCAAGCCCAACTTTTTTTTTTATCATAGCCTGTTTTAAAGATACCTGTTTTAAAGATATGTACGTACTTATTTTATTAGTATTTGTCACTAATTTTAGTTAATCGCACTATTTGCACGGACACTTTTTGGTAAAATTTTTCGGCAGCTGTGGTCGCTTCGAATCATAAGTGATAACTCAGCACACGCTGCAGCTGCATTCGCCAAAATTACCAAAAATTAAGCAACATTAATAAGGGGAATCGCCTATTAAAAAAAAATCCACAAAAATTTTGAATCGTAACCGAAGATTAAATTTAAAGTCAATGTTGCCTGTAGGCAACAGTGGGCATGAAAGGGTTAACAAATCGGCACATTCGTTCCCAAGGTATTTAAAATAATTATTAATTAGGTACTAATTTTATGGATTTCATTTAATCATTTTTTACATCAGTTTATAGAATAACAAGAAAGGAAGCTAGCTTCGGCAAGCCGAAGCTTATATACCCTTGCAGTCCGCAAATATTTCGAACAGAATACACAAAGGCTAAACAACATCGGAGCTACGAGACTTATCTATTAATTTTCCATATTTTTGACTATTGTTCATATGGCAGCTATATGATATAGTCCTCCGATTTTGATGAAATTTTATTTGTTATTCAAGAGTCGTTAGAAAACTCTATATTCCAAAAATCATGATTTTCTGATGATAAATAACGATCATTTATCATTTTATTTCCGTTAATTCTATATAGATTTTTCAATCTTTCCTATGACAGCTATATGATATAGTTGTCAGATTTTTATGAAATTTTTTTTATAAATCAAGTTAGTTAAAAAACTAGTTAAAAAACTTGATACTCAAAAAATCATAGTCGTGTGATGAAAAACAATGACGTTATCAATTAATTTCCATTAATTCTATATATATTTGTTGATCTCTCCTATGGCAGCTATGTGATAGAGTTATCCGATTTCGATAAAATTTAAACCGAAATTCAATAGTAGTTATAAAACGCCATCTGAAAGAAATCAAGTCGATCTGATCAAAAACAACGGAGTGAGATTTTTTTTTTCAATCTCTCGTATGGGAGCTATCCGATATAGTCGGCCGATTCGGCTCGTTCCGACTTATATACTGCGTGCAATAACTACACAACTTTTGGGAAAGTTTCAGCAAGATAGCTTCAAAACTGAGAGACTAGTTTACATAGAAACAGACAGACGGACAGACGGACAGACGGACCGACGGACAGACGGACCGACGGACAGACGGACAGACGGACAGACGGACAGACGGACAGACGTACAGACGGATTTCGATTCAGATCGTGATGCTGATCAAGAATATATATACTTTATAGGGTCTGAGGTGCCTCCTTCACTGCGTTGCAAACTTCTGACTGAAATTATAATACCCTTTGCTCTGCAAGGGTATAAAAACTAGGAATTTACTTTGCCTCAATTAATGGTCAATCATTGACTGTCCTAAAACTCATTCACAGGGCGATGATAGTCGGCCAGATGCAACAAAAACAAGAAAGGAAGCTAGCTTCGGCAAGCCGAAGCTTATATACCCTTGCAGTCATCAAATATGTCGAACAAAATTCATAAAGGCTAGACAACATCGAAGCTAAGACGATTTTTCTATTCATTTTCCATATTTTTGACTATAGATCATATGGGAGCTATTCGATATAGTTGTCCGATTTTGATCAAATTTAATTCGTAATTCAAGAGTCGTAAGAAAACTCTATATTCCAAAAATCATACTTGTCTGACGAAAAACAACGATGTTATAATTTTATTTCCATTATTTCTATATAGATTTTTCGATCTTTCCTATGGCAGCTATAAGATATAGATGACCGATTTTTATGAAACTTTTTTCTCAATATAAACGTTGTTAAAAAACTTTATATTCAAAAAATCATGCTCGTGGGATAAAAAACAACGATGTTATCAATTTATTTCCATTAATTCTATATATAATTTTCGATCTCTCCTATGGCAGCTATATGATAGAGTTATCCGATTTTGATCAAATTTAATCCGAAATTCAATGACAGTTAGAAAACGCCATCTTGAAGAATTCAAGTCGATCTGATCAAAAGCAACGGAGTAAGAATTTTTTATTTCATTCTCTCGTATGGGAGCTATCCGATATAGTCGGCCGATCCGGCCCGTTCCGACTTATATACTGCGTGCAATAACTACACACATTTTGGGAAAGTTTCAGCGAGATAGTTTTAAAACTGAGAGACTAGTTTAGGCAGAAACGGACAGACGGACAGACGGACAGACGGACAGACGGACAGACGTACAGACGTATTCCGATTCTACTCGTGATGCTGATCAAGAATATATATACTTTATGGGGTCTGAGGTGTCTCCTTCACTGCGTTGCAAACTTCTGGCCAAAATTATAATACCCTTTGCTCTGCAAGGGTATAAAAAAGGAGAAAAGAAGAAGGTTTGGTTGGAAAACATTGGTGTTCCGCTAACAAAAGCTTCGTCGGAGCAGACTTCTGGCCAATCCCAGAAGGCGGAAAACGTAATGCAGAAAACAAGCGGGGAAAACGTGTGACACAAAATATCACTCTCATTTAACGATGACAATAATGATCGTGATTATAATGGCGGCTTCGAACGAAGGAGAAGGGGGAAAACCAATTGCGTTTATGCATGTAGATACAGAGAGATGTCAACGGCACAAGCTAATTAAGGTTAATGAAAACAACAAGCTGAAGCTCAACAAACTTAAGCTTAACATCCGACTGATGGCGGTAATCAACGAGGACAGCAAACTTAATATAGTATCATATGTAGCCAAAAAGATAGTTTTATAATTTAACTTGATTATGAAATCATTCGACTGGTGTTAGCTTGCTTGTACCTTTTCTGTCGCCGTTTAAATTTCTTTATACATATTACTAATTTTAAATCGTCACGTAATTCATCTGCTCAAAGCGCCTATTCTCCTGTTATTGAGCCTGCCTTAATCATTCATTTTCAGTTCTTGCAATAAGCAGATTACATTTCGGGGGTAACCTAAAGTCAAGAATATGTTTCTACTTCGGTGTATTATTGTTCAGATGAAATATTTTTTTTTCAGGGAAAATGATGAACACTACTAAGAACCAGAAACTTAAATAATGAACTTACCTTTTTTATTTTGCTATTTCCTGAAAAAGAAAAAAAATAAAATAAATTTAATTTTTAAATGTATATGATAAAAATAATGTAGCAGACCTCTGACTGACTCTGCGAGGGTATAAAAATTGAGATATTTTTTAAATAATCATCATTGTATCATATTTTATTATCCCAAAAATGCTGAAACGATTGCCTTCGGCAATCTGCGCACTGCAGACGAACTGTAAAGCTTCGTTTTAAAATGCAATTTCAACTGCATTTTGTCTATTTAAAAATTAATGCGCTGCAACTGGAACAAAGAAAGGAGCATGAGAGTAAAACAAAGAGTGGAGAGCCCATGCCCACCTACCCAACCCATTTCCCCCATCTCAGGAGCGAATTCCCTGTCTAGGCATTCCGCACTGCCATGAGGCCCTAGAACGCAGCTTGGCCAAGGCGCCCTGGCCAAAGGCAGGTGTGTGCACCAGAAAATGGGGAACAGTAGGCGGTGATTGCTCAAACAAAGGTAAAGGAACTACAACCTCTTTTACATACATGTTGCTTGTACATTTTGGGTGCCTTCAAGCTGTAAAGTTTTAGCTAATAAAGGATTAAAGCTTACTCAGCTAAATCCTAGAAAGTCGTTAAGCTTGTCCATTTTAAAACTGAATGAATTTCATAAAACAAAGCTGTGATTTTGCAACAACGCGTTCTTTTTGCAAATGAATTAATTCAACCAACACTAGTTACTAACTTACGCGCAAAAAAGTCTGTGGAAATCATTATGAATTTATTTAAAGAATATTTAATGTATATTAAAAATCAAGACGTTAGTTTTTTGGTGTTGGTCGGGCCGAAAGTTTTTAAAGTGTGCAGGATGTCGTTCATCCGAGCAGCACCGTTGTTTTCCAACATACCACTTAACTTAGCCGCAAGACTCCTAGGTTCTCCTTTGAAAGCTTATCCGAGCTCAGCAGTTGCTGTTCGCCACTTGACTTTTTTAGTGATGATAAAGGCTGACGATAGATAGGCCGTGTTCAGAGGCCAGCAAACAATGCCTGTTAGCTGATATGTCTGGCGACATTGAAGAGGTCGATGGGCTAAGAATTTGTGGCCGTGTGGTAAGTTTGGGTCAACAGCATTATACTTTAATATCATTGAAAAGTTTTAACCTCTAAAATGAGCCCGGATCATATGTGTTGCATACACGAAAGCGAGGTATGTAGGGTAGGAATATGAGAAACTCTTTTTTAAAAGGGAAACTTTTTAGAATACCATCATGACCAACAGTTTTATAAAGATACTGCGTTTTTTCGACGCACAGACATTTTTTATTGATCGGGGTAAATATATTTTAAAACAAGAGTGAAAGTGAAAAGACCGTCAGAGCATTAGGCTTTGGCTATATCGAATAGGGATGATAAAAAGTAACTTATTAACTTAAAAGGGACTCATTGACTGTGCTACAATCTTCTGAATAATATAAAGTTAGATATAAAATTCTTCATATGTACGAGACTCAAATCAAATACATAAAATGTAATATTATTGTGTATTAAACTTAACCGCTCTCAGTTTTCAACCAAATAAAGACATTCTAAATATTTCGCCTAATAAATGTTAGTATAGCAAACTTGTTGTGGGAGGCGGGATACAGGAACTCATCAGAGTTGTAAATTCAACTTACTCAACTATGCTCATAACTCATTCCAAGCCCCAAAGAACCATTGCCAGAATTTTAACTGCCAACAACAGCCTTCCAACATCCAACTTATGACAACACGCTCACACATGGGAATTCGCAAACAATATTTAGTTCTTCAAAACTAGCGAATCACTGTTTATTTAAAAATAACTAATCATATTTAGACGAACCAAACAATTAAAGCGCTTTAGAAGAAACATATCTTTTACTCGTAGATATTTTGATGATTTCACAAAATTCTTGCTCTCGGAAGCGCTGGATACACCAAGCTTTTTCCACTTGACTGTTCGACCTGATAATATATGCATAAAGTTGGCAGAACAAGGTTTGAAATGAAAATTTATTTCTTATAATTTGTCGTCAATTATCCGTAAATTACTCCTCAAAGAACAGAATTTACCGCTTAAATTGAAAATGATTGGATTTATTTTAACATCCTGAACAGCCTTACTTTCTAATCGTTAAATGAAAAGTTGAACCTGCCAATTTCTATATCGTGTTATCCGTTCAAAATTTCCTTACAAATCAAATATCCAAGCAAATGTTTTACTGAACCTCCTCTAAATGACTTACTAATTTAACATTACCAGGACGATCCAACGGCATGTACATATTTATATGGCAGACAAATTTGTCCGACGTTCGTAATTTTAATTAAAACCGCAAATAAATGGTGGGGTTCCCCAGGGAAGCGGTCACTTTGCTAATGGAATATAGTGTAGTATGCTCACATAGTACGGACAACAGGCAACGCATTGGGGGTCATATAAATAAATAGGCAGCCAGACCCAAGCAAACATGTTTACTAAAGCAGGAGGATAGGATGGGAAAGTAAATAGAAATTGTACTGCCCAATTATATTGGATAGTCAAATAATGCCTCTTGTCGCTTTTTCCGCTTAATTTTTTTTTAATATGGATATAAAAAAGAATACAAAATTTTGTTTCTTAACGAATAATAAACTGTACATTTCTGAAAAAAAGAAACTAAAACATTTAATTTAAACTGGTAAAAAAGTACATGTGTCTAACATATCGATTCTATAAAAAGAAAATTGAATAAAGCTACCAGCTTGTCAGATAAGCTATCTGGCAAAAGAGACATCACAAAAGAATGTTCTTACATTTCGTCAAAACAGATGTCTGAAGGTGTCAAGATAAAAAACCAATTTTGTTTTACAAGAAACCAATCAGCATTCGCGAACAATCTTCTTAATTCTTAGAAGCGCTTTAAACTTATCAAGGCTTAATGGTACTTGAAAACAAATCCAGTGAAAAGGTACTCAACAACTTTTTTGGCGAACCTCAGAAGCTATTTAACAAAAAGCTCTCTTTATAGCCTAATCTAAGTAACTAAAGGTTAGACGACGAAAAGGTGCCATTTTCAAATCTAGATCAAGGTGCAGATAAAGATAACGCAGTAATATTAGAAAATATATGGTACCTCCTTACTTGCTGAACGCGTATGAATGGGAAAACACAAAAAAATTAAGAGTTGATACCAACTTGAGGTGGGTTTTTTCATAGCTCTTGCTCTCCCAATTAGACTATACTTACCCTATAATATCGAGTAACATTTTTTTTGGTGTCTAGCCTCTGCAAGGCTGAACAATAGCTAAAAGTTTGATTAAAAGCCATTATCGGTTCTAACGATAATGGTAAAAAAAAAAGATAGCACGTATTTTGAAGGGTTTATACTTGACATCCAAAAGATAAGATTAAGAAGTTATGACTCATTTAAATAAAGGAAGAGGGATAAAATATTGATTAAGGTACAGAACGTGGAATATATTATGTATTTTAAAACTTCAACACCTTACGAACGTAAGGTTGGTTTTTTCCCGGCAGTACTTGGTCTTACCTCTATGCGTCATGAGCTTAAAATAAGACTTGTGATTTGGTGTTTAATAATTCATTCCCAGATCAGCAAGTTGACTGGGGAGTTACTGTGAGTTCACGCAGGTAATATTAAAATTAAATGGATTGAAAAATATCACACGCATTTGTGCCTGAGGCAGCAATCAGTCAACTGACAACGACAGCCACTTACAGTCGGCTAAAACCGAAGGGCTTTTAAATATGACAGTCGCGACAGCCATTCGCTTGAGCGCTTCAAGCGCTCTGTTGTCAATACGAAAGATATTTACATATATTTCACCTCATGTATGACACATCCTCCATCTGGAGGCCAAAATTATCGATCGATTTCCCGGGTAAACAATTTTCAAGTAGATATTTCTATCTTTGATGAGTTTTAAGTTCACAATACAATAAAGCAGCTTTAAAAGTTTGGTACACTTTCTCTATAGCCGTAATGTAAGGAAACTTGATCGGATTTAACTTCAGCAATCAATAGGCCTAATTAGGGTGGGAAATTGTAGAAGTCGGTGTGTAGATGAGCCCGATACCCCACCAAAGAAGCGTTAGATAATGCAGGAGATTATTATTGACACAAAATGCTACTCTGGGTTGAAAAAGCTTGTTTAACAGCTTAGTTATAATTTACGACACACAAGGCACAGGAAAGCTATCCCTAAAACTGGGCTAATCAAATGTGTATACAAAACCAGGATCGTAAATATGGGAGTCACTGAAGTATAAAGGAATCAAATTAATAATACAGTGAAGTAAGTCCCATTACCATAAAAAAACCGAACAATGGAAATTAAAAACAATATGGCATTCTTCTCAATCATAACGAAGCGAAATTCTGTGCAAGTTTTGTGGTTTACGAGTAATAAGAATTTTGAAAGCGTCTGAAGTAAAAGTGTGGCCAACATTCATTTAAAAAGGTAGCTTCTAAAGCAATCTCATCGCATGGAGTTAAATTTGCAACTGCATCACGCTGCCCATTTTTTTCTCATGTGCTTTCTGCAACCATCTGGTTATTCTCATTTGGTTGCTTCATTTTCACGTTATCAACACGTCAACTTGCTGCAAAACCGATGCCAAAAAAATGGTTTTTTACTTTTACCAATAAAACTCTGTGGCCCGTAACCCACTCGTCTTTGCACTCCCGCTTCCGTCAAACTAAATTGATTTATGATGTCTGCCACATATTCTCATTCCGTGCAACGTCAAAAGTTATGCAACAGCAGACTGTGGGCCACAGGGTGTTTTACCATTTTGTTTGCCGGCAACTCTGTACATTGTTCCTCGTCCCGAGTGGGCGTGACGTCGAGTAGGTGCCACCACACGCCACTACATGCGGGAAAACACTCCCGAAACTATGCCACAGTTTCGTTGCCTCTTCCTACTCCTGCTCCCACCGTCATCCTCATTCTCGTCCTCGCCGATTCGGTTCAGTTCGCGTCCCTGCGGCTATACTTTTATATTAACAATCATAATTCATATTTATTAATGTCCTCAATTTGTTTTTAATGATATTACCCGCCACTGGGCGCGGCCGAGCGATTGCGCAAGGATCTATTGCCGATGCCCAGATGTTGTCGTTATTTTTTCGCTTGTTAACTGTGCCTAGTGAGTTGGTTCTAATGGATAACTCCTCTCGGGGAGCCACTTTGATTTACCGGCGGACTACCTCGGCTTGCTTATATGGGGGCTCAAAAATCCCTATTCTAATATTCAGGTAAATTTGATTGGTTTAACATTTTCTTTTTCGCACATCGTAAAACTAATGGTCTGCTGGATTGTTTCATATTTTTGAAAGTATTTTTTGTGAAAGCATTTTTAAGACAGTTAAGAAATAATCGAAGAAGGCTATAAGTGAAGCGACCCTAAGCCAGACCACCAATTTAAAACGAAAACTGTATATCCGGCGTGGAAAACAATACGTTTTCCGTTGTTCAAGTAACAATAATGCAAAAAGTGCGAGCAGCCACAATGTGTAGTATTTTGGTCAAGGACTTTTCATCTTGCATGCACCGCAAATCCTTTAAAGCCTTTTCGCCATTTGTTTGTTCAAGAAAGTTTCTCAGAGGCATAAATTAGAACAACATGTTTAAAAACAAGAAAGGAAGCTTGCAGTCATCCACTATGTCGATCAAAATGCATAAGGGCTAAACAACATCGAAGCTTTGGCGACTTTTCTATTCCTTTTTCACATTTTCGACTATTATTCATATGGCAGCTATATGATATAGTTGTCCGATTTTGATAAAATCGTAAAATTCGTAATTCAATAATCGTAAGAAAGCTCTATATTCCAAAAAGCATGCTTCTCTGATGAAAAACAACGATGTTATAATTTTATTTCCGTTATTTCTATATTGATTTTTCGATCTTTCCTATGGCAGCTATATGATAACGTTGTCGGATTTTAATGAATTTTTCTTGATTCAAGAGTTAAAAATAAAAATCTTCATATTTAAAAAAAAAAAATGCTCGTGGGATTAAAAACAACGACGTTAAAATTTTTTTTCCATCATTTATTCGCTTTTTCCTATGGCAGCTATATGATAGCATTATCCGATTTTGATAAAATTTAATCAATATTAGTTAGAAAACACCATCTGGAAGAAATCAAGTCGATCTGATCAAAAACAACGGCGTAAGAATTTTTTATTTCATTCTCTTGTAGGGGAGCTATCCGATATGGTCGGCCGATCCGGCCCGTTCCAACTTATATACTGCGTGAAATATTTACACATCCTTTGGGAAAGTTTCAGCAAGATATCTTCAAAACTGAGAGACTATTTTAAAGAGAAACGGACAGACGGACAGACGTACATAAGTATCTCGATTCAGATGGTGATAATGATCAAGAATATATATACTTTATGGGGTCTGAGGTGACCTTGCTGCTAATATGATTTGTGGTTAATTTTAAAATTAGTACCTGGACAAGCCTGGACAAGTCCTTTAAAAAATTTAACTACATGGCATATTTTCCCCTGTTAAAAAGAAAAAGCCCGAAAACGATTTAAACGACTGCCATGTATTTTCTCAATCTTTAAAATGTTGAGTTCTGGTATTCTCTCCAAATATGATTTCGGATTTAAGGAGGCCTTGACCATCGAAAGATTTTGTCTCAGGCCTTTTAACATAATTAAATGAACATATTGCCGAGCCGAAGGTCAGTAGTCTTTATCCATGTAGCCTTAAGCTAAGACAACTTAGTACTATCGATTTAAAAAGCCGCAAGGGTTCTTTGTTATTGCTTGTGTGAGTCTGTAAATGTGTAAGGGCTTTTGAGTAATCAACAAAAATATAATCAGCAGAAAATATAAACCTTCAGAGGTTTGCTAAGTTTGCAGATTTGATTTGTTACCCGCTTAACAAATTACGATGTGAGATTAAATTGGTTTCTTTCGAGCACTTGAAATTGAAATTCGCTCTGACAGGTCCCTTACTAGCTTACTTCTTCAAGGAATAAATAATAACCAATAAATAAATTTGATCAACATATAAGATAATGTTGATTGAATTCATATCAACTTTGACTCTTTTTTACAATTTTAAGTTGTAGTATCAAGCTTAGTCTGCAAGGGCATTTAAACGTTGGCTTACCGAAAAAAACTTCGCTTGTGTTTGGAGTAACCTGAGGTTAGTTAGAAGCGTGGTGTCCTTGTGGGGAAATATCTGAAACAATAATAAAAAAGCATTAAATTATTTCCTATCATTTGATGTGTCTTATGCATAGCAAGGCATTCATTCGCATCTCTAGGACCGTCTAGTCCGTCAATCGCCGTTCCAAGACCAATAATTCTTTAATTCCAAATACCATTTGTCGTCAGAAAACAACAACTTTCCTACCTCGTGAACATCGTCGTCGCAGTTTCTCATTTTTTCAAAATAATAGGGGTGTAGTATAATAAACTGGTCTTAATAAATTGATTTGGAATTTACAACATTTAAGCTAAACTTATTTTTTAAAAATTTGCACTAGGTTCAAGACTTTCCGAAGAATCAGATTTTACAACGGACATGGTCTAATAATTTAAGCATTATATTAGGCTTTAATCCAAAACAAATTGTTTTAAAAGGCGTTGCAAATTGCATGACCATGTTTATATGAATCGGGCTGACTCTACTTTAAAGAACATAAGGCTAAACGGCTTTAAACACAAAAATATAAAAAAATATTAATGTCGTAAGTAAATGATTTGTGGCTTTAATCTGAGCGTATGTATTAAAAGTGGTAGAACACATTTGTTTTAGCTTAAAGCTTGAATATAAATACAGCCGCCCACCAGCCTTTTGGCAGTTTCAGCCCTGCTGTCGTATAGACGTCCAGATCTTTGGAATAAATCATCTAGAAGCTAAAGATGATAAAGGGCAGCAAAGGAGGTCTCTAAAAGTTTTTACTCTTGTTTATAAAAAATATGTTAAAAAGGTTTATAGAACAAATTTTAAAAAGCATGTCCAAATCTACCGAATTCGTATGTAAATTATACCCAAACAGCCCTTATCACAAAAAATTTGTATAGAAATAGGCCGAAAGTTTACAAAATTATGCGGTTCACCAAGTTGTTTAAATTCCGTCCTAACACTTTTTCGTCTAATTCATCAGAACCTTTGTCTTGGGGTTGAGCCAGACGCACACTGTAAGGGCGGCTTGAAAACCCTGTTTTGTTTCGCTTCATTCAATCAACCAGAAAGCATAAGCCACCGCTCAGCCGAGCGACCCAACTCATGTCATGCTGACGATGACATGCCCTCTGGCCAGGGAGAAAGGTGTCAGAACAGAGCGCAGGGGCACACCTGTCCGCTACCAAGTCCAGTCCATCGCCCTTCTATCTGGCAAGGTGCCCCTGGCCATGCCCCTGAATGGGTGACTGACTGACAGTTTTGCGTGCCTAATTGTAAGAGGAAGTAAGGAAAACATTTTGTTGCCCTGCGGTTGTCATGACGAAGCAGTCTGTCCCAAAACCCCTGTTTTTAGTTTGGTCTAAATTAAAATCGCTGCTCCGAGGATCAGCTGACGATGGTATATGTAAAGCCAAATATTTAAAACCTGCCAGAAAGGAGAATGAAATTAAAGATGTTTTAAATTTAACTCCGCGATTCGACTAAAATTTCAGTTTCCTAATTCCTACTGTTTGCACAGCATAATGCAGCTGAAACTGCAGACAACAATAGATGGGCATATTAACGTTATTAATTTTGAAATTTACTTCTTTTTCTTATGCAAAACTTGTCCCAAAGTCTCAGTTTAACTAAAGAAAAAAGTCAAAATATTTTTGTTAGGTTAATACCAACATAAAAGCATAGTTTGAATATGAAAAAAAAATAAATTTACAAAAAAATGAATTAAGACCTTTTTTATTCCTATTATTGCAATAACATTAGAACTGATTTTAAAGGTAGAATAAGTTAACTATGTCAGTATTTTAACCGATAACAGCTCAAAATCGATTTCGATGGCTTTGAAATTTTGGGATATTTTTAAAATCGTATGCATTATATTGACAATTTATCAGTTACACAAACAGTTAACTTATGAATTCGTACAACTCAACTAGAAGAGTATAACTTTTCGCTTTATCTGGCGTACACACACAAGTAACGAAAAGAAAAGATGCTTCGGTAACCCGAAGCTCATATACCCTTGCAGTTAAAACTGAAATAAAATAAGTAAAATAAAATAAGTAAAAGATGAATAACTGCAGGTGTGTTTTAATTAAACGGACGGATAAGAATAAAATATTATACGCCCCTATAAAAACGGTACAAAGTTGGAAAGTAAAAACCTTTTAATTACTTGGGTTTTTTAAGGTAGAGTTATTTTGGATTTTTTTTTTTTTAATGTGCCATGCAGATTTCACCTCTTGATTCTGCTCAACAAGTATAAACAGAACACTATTTGTGCACTTCCGCTTGTACATAATTTGAATAATTGTGTCTCGCGCTGTTTATCTGAAAACTAGAAATCTTGCGAAGCTTATCAAGACCTCTTCTCAAATGTTCTTCGTAATTCAACCACAGCACTGCGTTAGATGCCCCGCCCAAATGCCACTCCCTTTCCTTACATTTCCTATCAACATTGTGCAACACGGCGTCTTTTATAGAGCCTGTAGGAGCATGGAGAACGTTCCAACGGTCCAGCTCTTACGTACATGTGATGTTACTCCACACACATGTTCCATTGCTGAGAAAAATATTTGTTTAATACTCGTTTGAATAACTAACAAACTGGTGGGTTAGATAATGTTTATCAAATATAAACATTTAAAAATAGGGAGAATCACATGAAGCTACCCAGGTAGGTATCCGGATAATTGGTAAATATTTTATTTGAAAACAAATACATAAATCAAACAAAGTATGAAGGAACTACTTTTACTATTTTAAAAGCATTAATTCTTTAGTCAACCAATGTGTCCCCTTTCTATTTTTGAACGACTTGCAGATAAATTAGGTCGTAAAGTATTCACCCAGTGACAATATTTAGCCACACAGAACCACAAGATTTATGTGGGCCACGGTATTTTTAATGAGCTATTTGGAAAGAAAGCAAACAACGAACACACTTTTAATCGGTTAACAAATGTTTTGTTAATGCGAAAATTAACAGTCGATAAGAAAACAAATTAATCAAAAAAACGAGGGAAATTCGGAACGACGGGAAATTTTGCTTAGATAAAGAACAAGTAACGACTTTGCTTTGCAATAAATTTATAATTATTATTGCGTTAACCTTATCACGTTTATTGGCGACGGGAGGCTCACATGATTATTGGGCAAAAAACATATTACTAGCCACAGTTACTAATTACAGAGCAAATAAGGCGGTTTTAATATGTGATAAGTACCCTATAAATGTTCAAGTAGGTATTTCTTTCCAGACAGCGAATGCCTATTCCTTTTTAAATTTTATAAACTACGAACAATTTTGGACCGATAAGGAGCATAAAAAGTAATTTAAACAAGCAAGCGGAAACCGGAGAAAATCCAAATCAACAGCAACAGCAACAAGCTGAAAATGCTAACAATAGCGCAAGTTAGACATAATATACAAGATATAAAATAAACTTTTCAATTGTACGGAATTATTATCGAACTTACATCACACACACAGCAAGGCAATTTTCAAATTTTGTGCTGCTGCTGCTAATGATGATTTTGATAATTCTCTTTCTTTCGATATTTACTGTGGTTGTTGTTGTTAATGCGGTGGCCGCACGAATTTGAAATTTGATTTCTTTTGATTTGGCTTTGTGTTTTGAATTTGTTGATTTTTATGTTGGCTCTTCGGCCGCTCGTTTGGGCGAAAATAAAAGAAATCGCGCTGCTGTTGCTTTTGTTGTTTTTCCGCTGACCGTTTTCTATGAATGAAAGGGGCATTAAGCAAAAGCAGCAGCAACAACTGCAACAAAAGACGAGGCGTGACGCGACAGCAGAAAAAACCGAATCAGCGGGCGATGTAAAACGAAACGAGTTTTCACATTTGTAGCACAGTGTGGCCCTGGAAAAAGAGAGATAGGCCGAGTGTCCAGAACGTACAGAATGTACGCTAAAAAGGAAAAGCTACGTCGCCTTTTACACTGGTCTACACGCTCCGCGTGCGAGAGCAAGCGAGAGGCCAGACGGGGCCAGCTGATTTTTGGGCATGCCACATGCAGCGGCAACAACAACAGCCCAGCCTCTCTTTCTCTCTTCAGCAAATTGAATTTTCGCTGTTTATTTGGGTGACGCTCGCACACAATTGCACACACTCACTGCACAGCAAACATTTGAATTTGTGTGCTACACTTGTTTTTTTAGCCCCGATTAAGCGGCGGTTTTCGTCGCTTCCGTTCTGCGATCTTTATTCGCGGCTGGCTTTCTCCGCTCACACCTTGCTTCACTCCTGTTCGCTTTTGCCTTGGCTTGGCAAGCGACACATTAATTCTCAGGCTTTTTCCGATTGGCACGCGCGTTCGCCTCCCGCACACACGCGCAAGAACACAACCGTTTCGCTCGAAGTCTCGAAATCGAAAAAGTCTAAAAACCTCCAAAAAGTCTGTGCAACTAACTTTTTAGGCCTAAGAGAGCGTCACTTGGACTAAGAGCGAACTCAAGATATTGTCGCTCTCCAACGACGGGCACACTATTATTCCACCAAAATGGTTGCTGAACAAGCTTAACGGTTGTTGGAAAAATGCAAACTGCTGATACCTTCAATTTGAATCAGTAACGTTTTTTTACGAGACTATTCCGATCGAGTTTTGAAAGGTTTTGAAACTTAGGAGCATTTTTTTCTTAACAATATTCAATATTTTTTTCATTATATCGGTACGCTTTAAGGCACAACATTGATAACAATTAAGTCATTTGCAATCGAAAACTTTTAAAATTCAAGTCAGCAGTTAGAACAGTTAGATCGCTAGGGATTGGATAACTCCACACACAAAACCGAAAACAAACTGTTGTTTGGACTTAGCATCGACATTCTCGGCATTAACTATCAATCAAAACTTTTGCAGACTTTTTTACAGAGAAAATTGCTTAAAAAGAGGGTTGGTGGGCTTATCCATATTATATCGCTACAAAGGAAAATCAAACAGTAAACTTTCTATTTAAAAACTATAATTTTATTTTAAATCAAACTCATACCAGAAGGAGATCTTTTACAATGATTGGTTTTTTTCTCTAAACTTACACATTTAACACCTTCCCGGATGGCCAATTTTTTTGGATGCTATTAAAAAGGTGAAAAATGAAACTATCTTCGGCTCGCTATGCTGCTTTGTACATCAAGAAACTAGTCTTCTGTTTCTGGGGAAGGAACGAAATGAAGTGCGTAGGATGGGCGTCGAGATTCACGGTGGGCGATATCCCAGACTTAAAGCTTAGCCACAATCGCCCCTGCGGCTGGCTAGAGGTCCTGATTCGGTTCCTGCTTGATGCCTTGGTGCTGTATGTGAGCCAGCAAGGCCTCCTGTCCATCCAGATAAGCCAGAAAGCTCTGCTCCATCGCCAGGAACTGCTTCTCCTTCTGTTCGAGTTCCAGCAGGCAAGCGTCGTTCTGCTCCTCGAGCAACTTGTTCTCCTTCCGCAGCTCTTCCACCGCGGCCATGGTGATCTGTCCCGCTCGAGGCAGGATGCTGCGTCGTCCGCGTCGTCTTTTGACCGCAGATCGCTCGATTTCCGGCTGTCCGTTTGTGTGGCTCATTAACGACGGGTCCTCTGTGCTGGGCAACTGGCGGTTGGCGGGCGTCAGTGGGGACCGTCGAATGGCACTTTCAGTAGACGCCCGATATTGGGCCGCGGCAAGGTTCAGCTCCGCTTGCGTCGGCTTGGCCTCAGTCTTCACCTGGGCGAGGACGAGAGTCTGGGCCTGAGTGTAGGCGTCTGGCTCTGTCTTGACAAATGGGTGAACTTGTGGCTGGGCGTCCAGGAAGGCGCTTCCGTCTGGGTCGCGCTCAAACTTTACTTGAGTGGACGACGTGTGAATAAGTGGCGGCAGGGCGGGCAGCTCCGCCCGCGCCTTCGCAGCGGCTTCCTCGAGGACATTGCGAACGTGACGGAGGTCTGCCGAAGGTCTTGCCGGGTGGAACAAGGTGTCAATTAGCGAAAAGAGGCGCCACTCCGACGGAGTGTCCCGAAGGCTCCCCGCGCGATTGCGCTCGCTTCTGCAAAAAAAGAAAAGAATTTTCAGCATTGGGGCTCTGAAAACAACTCTAAGCATCCAGGGCTTACAAATACTTATTGCGATAGCTGTTGATGCGCCGGCGAGCCTCCTGCTTGTTTAGCCGAACGCCTTGCTGCTGAAGACCGTGCGCGATATCCCGGAAGATGGGGAGGTTGTCAGTGTAGGAGGGAATGTCCTGCAGGTGTACGCGCCACAGCCGCACCAGCATGGCCTCCTCCCAGGAGGTGTAGTAGCGCAGTCGAAGGTGCTTTTGGCCGCTCATTTTCCAAACCGCTTATTTGCTATAAAAACATCTCGTACGTGACCGAGTCAGTGTGACCGAACGTCGAGAAAATTCCAATGTATACCGCAGACACGGTTGCCAGATTTAGCTCTTTTGAGCCAAAATTGGCTCTAGCGATACAAAATATTTTAAATTTGAAAAAAACGAATTCATTTTTTTATTTATGCATTTATTTTTTGTGGAATTATAAAAGTGATTAATGTCTGAAATCTAAAAGTGCCAGATCGAAACTAAATTATTCCGCTGGTATAGTAGCTCTGAACATATGTCAGAATTACTTAAATTAGCAAGTAATCCTTAGTTTCATTGCAGAAAAATGTGTTGTGATGTTTTTGTTTATTTTTTTTTATATGACTTTTTTATGATAAAAGTTAAAAAAATAATAAATAAAAATTTGGCTCTTTTTTATTCAAATTGGCTAATTTTTAATCTTTTTTTGGCTCATTAAAAATTTTTGAAGTGGCAACCGTGATCGCAGATGCATTCACTAGTCCTTTAAGTACACACAATTTTGATTTTTAGGCGCAGTTAACTGAGACTTTTACCTTGAATAAATATCAGCAGGGATGCTCAATAACATTTTTTTTCCTCCCATTATTCTTGATAGTCGCAGAAATTATTTTAGAAACCTTTTCAAAGGCGTATCTTAAGGCTCAGTTTTAACAATCAGCACCTTGTTGCAAAGCGAGAAGGCATTCACAATTTAGTTCAGTTAGGCGAAAAAAAGATTATCTATGAGGAATCAACTATTTTTGCGCAGACAAAGCCAAAATCGTAATGTGCAATATATTCTCAATAACAAATTGTCACTGAACACATCTTTTTGGCTGGCAAAACGAGTATTCTTTAATATAAATATCTAAAGACAAAATTATATTTAACGCAGTTTAATTTGTTTGTTTTGAACTGTTAAAAATAAACAAAAAAAACTCTAATGTTGTCTTGATAAATTTAGTTTGAGAATGCTATTTATCGTAATTAAAATTGTAATATTTAACAGTATCCTGTGATTTAAATAATTTCAGTTCTCAAAAAAGCGTTGTGACTTAAAAACGGCTTTTCCTAAAATCAGGATTGAGGAAAGAAATGCTATGGAATTCGCCTGTATTCAGATTTCGTGTTTCCCATGATACAAGTTTCTTGAAGCATGGCAACGCTGGCACCCTGGCGTTTTTACCGCGCACGGTCACTCTCTTCTGTGTATCAGAGCTGTTGTTGATTTTTTGTGCAGAAAACTCTTGGCTTCCCCCGTTTTCCGCAATTTGTTCCTTCGCATCGCATTGTGCAACTCGAGTACTATCCAAGAAAACTGAACACTCAGGAGAAAAAAGCAGGGAAGCGGCAGTAGTGCGGCTTATGGACTACGAGAAGCTGGCGCTGAACGCAGGCGGAGGCAGTATAGCCGGTGGAGGAGGCGGAGGTGGTGGAAGCGGTGGCAGCGGCGCCGAACAGGATCCGGCCATGTGTGGGGGTCAGGAGCTGCTCGAAGGCAGGGCCAAGGAGAAGGCGCGTCGCTACTGGACGCCCAGCGAGGAGGAGCGCTTGTACGAGATCTGGGGGCGCGACAACTGGCGCTTAACGCGCACCGGCAAAAATACAATTTTCTTCGGCCGCTGGGCCGAGGAGCTGCGCGACAGGTTCGCCGTGGACGTGAAGCCCGAGGAGATCCAAATGAAGGTCAACCAGACTAGAGCCAAGTTCAGGTGAGTAGGTCTTCTTAAGAGGGTCTTCTTTCGGCTATTCCAAATTACTTTGCTTCACAGGCAGGTGAAGAAGCAACTGCAGGCAGACCCCTCCAGCTACGCCACGCGTTGGAAGAAGTACGACATAATCAACCGCATCCTCAAGAACCTGCATAGGCCCAAGAACGCTGATCCGCTGCCTCCAGAGGCGCTGCTCAACAACCGCGACATGACACCGCCGCGAGATGATGCACCTGCGGATCAGCTGCAACAGCAGCCACAACAACAGCAGCAACCTGTTCAGCAACAGAGTCTGGGACTGACCGCCGAGCCGCCGGCTGCCACCTTCTATAACAGCAGCAGCAACAGCAATCACGGCAGCAGCCACAACAACAACCACAGTGGCGGCATGAGCTTTAGCACTGAGCTGTTCACAGACCAGTACGACGAAGTGGTCAAGCAGGAGTACGAGGACGACGACTACCGCTCTATGCCCTTTCAGGAGCCACTGCAACAGTATTCGCCAGCCGAGCCGGCTCAGCTGCTCGAGTTGCAAACGCCACAACAACAACAACAACAGCAGCAGCAGCAGCAATTTCAACAGAACTACGAGCCGCAGTTTCAACAGCAGCCGGCCCATTTCAACAACAGCAGCGGTAACAGCGTAGCAGCCACCTCGACTATTAACCACCAGCCAATCACGGCGGTTGCTTACATCAACAGCAGCAACAACACAATCAGCGTTGCCACAAATGCGAACGGAGGCATGCCGGCGCCAGTCCAGGCCTCAGCTTCAGCTCCGGCCGCTGTTGCTGCCCCAACCAGCAATCCCCCCGGCGTTGGCTCTTCGCCAGTGCCCGTGCCACGAAAGCGTGGGCGGCCGTATGGATCCGTCAATCCGCCACACGCCGACTCGCTCGAGGCCCTTTACATGGAGGAGGTTCGTCGGAAGAACCAGCTACTCTACGAGCAGACCAAGATCTGTCGCCAGCGGCTAGAGCTGGAGGAGCGAAAGGTCGGCCTCATGCAGACTTTCTTTCCCAAGTGTCTCGAGCAGCAGGCGCAGATCCTTAGCCACTTCACGCAGCTCCAGTCGCAACAGCAGCTTCCTCCGACTCAGCGGCCGCAGTGAAAACCTTTTCGGACTATTAAACCTCAAGTTTGGACCGCAATGCATAAACTTTTGTTTTTTGTGTGTGTTGATCAGTACCCTAAAACCTAAAAAAAACACAAGCAACACTTTAATTAAGATTAATTAAGACTACACTTAATTAATAAATAAAAATAATTTCAAGAAATGCTATATTCTCTTTGGTGACGACTTTACCGAAAACTGACTAGAAGAATTGAGAATACGCGTCTTATGAGAACTTAATTTTTTGTTAATCCATTGATTCGCTAATATTGTTTCCGAAAAATTCGATTTATACCCGTTTTATAGCTATACATATTTCATTGTAATCTTGTCAAAAATACGCATCTAATGAAATCTCAGTTGTTAAAATCGAAAGCGCTCTTGAAAAGTTATTCCGGTCTATAAATATGCATATGCATTTTATTTGAAAACGGAGTAATTAAAAACCCGGTCGTAAGTTTAAATAAAGAAGAAATTAAGCTAACTTGGCGACATATTTATAACATAAGGTTATAAACATAACTATTAATTACAAATGTTTTAATTTTATTATGATTTGGTTATCGCACTTCACCCATATGACAGGTTAATCTTACACGACTTCAAACAACGGCTTTTATTTGGCCTATAATTTAGAATAACTTAGGGTTACAATTTGAGCCTGAAAATGAAGTAAGCCTGAAATATTGAAATATAACTCTGTTAGTTATTGTTAAAATAAGGTTGAAGCCCGGTTCGGTTCGTTTTGCTAGTTTGAGTTTTTTCTGGAGCTCAGCACTGTTGATAGCAGCAGATTCTAGTTTCCTGGCTAGGTTGTTACTATAAGCCATCACATGAATCTCTTCAAGATATGCTGATATGTTTGGGGTCTCTTTCGATGTTTTTGTTTCGCATTAGCCAAGAAGCTCAAAAGATCTTACTACTTTACTTATATCTGCTTTTTGTGGTGGGCCTTAAGCCTGGAGGTCGTGTGATAAGTAGAGCTCGGCAAGTTATGCACGAAAAAAGGCAAAAAGATCCATGCAAATATGCACAAAAAATAGCAAAATATGCTTAAGAATATGCATTTAAAAACGCAAAAAGATATGAAAGAATCATGCAAAAAATAGTCAAAATATGTTGGAAAAGGTTCTTTATTTCAAACCTAAAGTTATGCACAGATCTACATATGTACATTGAACTCCATAAAATTTGGTCCTGGTTTTGGTTTAAAATCCGATATTAACGATTAGCTTCCCTGATCGGCTTTTTCTTCCTCCTATCTTTGGCAGCTTTGTGTTTCTATGATGCAATATGCTGTTTTACTTGGAATATTTTTTTTTGCCTTGAACTGCACATTTACAAACGTTGGGTCATTATTTTGACCCATAAGACCGAAATACTTTGGGAAATCCGACTTTCATACGCAATATAAATTTACCGCGCGTTTCTTTTCTAATCATTCTGACGAATTTTGAAACAACTGATAACTTTGAATGCCACGGACGAATGATAATTTAAGAATATGTATAATAAAGCGTTTTTTTTATTAGTCATTGAGAGTACCTTAATGAGTCAGTAATGATCATTTGATGAAAATAGACAACTTGAAAGTCAAATTACTTTCAATTCCACGCAATAATCTTATAAACAATTAGATAGATTTGTTATTGAATGTATTCAGTTTTTTGTTGTTATTCGTAACAGAATGATTTTCATATGTCACAGCTAAATTATTATCAGTTTTGATGATTGAAATATAAAAATATGCTTGAACATACTTTCAACTTTCAATCAAAATATGCTCTAAGGAAAGAAATATGCACCATATGCATGCCACATGCATTTACATGACTATCCGAGCTCTAGTGATAAGCCATGATATCCAAATAACCTTCTGCTCCTGAAGAGTACTGAAGGAGCTTTAGGTAAGGTTTTTGCCTAGGGTGACTCCAAGGTATTTAACGCCTGAACGGAGCTGGTTGGCCTTTCATTAAGGATGACGCCAGAACAGCCTTTTGGTGTTTGTGAAGGGCACATTGGCTAACTTGTCTGCGTTAATGCGCGCCTTTCGAATCGCAGCCCGTTGATGATACGCATCCAGATATTATTGCAGTGAATATATGGCGGCTGATATACTTTTGCTTTTTGTGAGTAGAGCAGTGTTCTCAGCGTAGGTTGCAATCAACATAGGTGATTGAGTGTGCATATCTAAAGTAAAAGATGCTCACAGGCTAGGTAAAATGTTCTTAGTCGTCACGCTGCAAGGGAAAATATATTTACAATTACTCGTAATATTATTAATATTATTTTGCCAAAGCGAGCCCAACGAACACATTTTTTAAAAAGTTATTTATTGGTTTCCATGTATATTCCTTTTTTTTAAACATAAAGCTAAATTTTAAAAGAGTTCACCAAAGTCTTAAAATACTCCGAGTTCTGCTCTGTTCTGGTTGCATTGGCAGTGAGGTTCCGTTTCCTAAAATCCGATGCGTCGTGGAAAAGTTATCCTAGATCTAATAGCTCTTTAAATTTGTCAACTTTTATTATATTACAGAATTTGTAAGGAAAATTCGCATTTCGGACTTATATCTTTATACCCTTGCAGAGCAAAAGGGTATTATAATTTCAGTCAGAAGTTTGCAACGCAGTGAAGGAGACACCTCAGACCCCATAAAGTATATATGTATATTCTTGATCAGTCCGTTTCTCCGCAAATCAGTATGCTGATCAAAAATATATATACTTTATAGGGTCTGAGGTGCCTCCTTCACTGCGTTGCAAACTTCTGACTGAAATTATAATACCCTTTGCTCTGCAAGGGTAAAAAATTGTGACTACCGTACCTTCAATATACAAAGTTTAAATATCAAGACAATATTGTTTTATAAAGAAAAGTTATTTTACATTCAACTATAATAAAATTAAAATTTTTAATTCGCAAAACGACTTAATACCGTTAAATTGTTTACTTTAGTTATAGGTGATTTCGATTGGTGGGTATAATTTGGTTTAAACAACTCTTACCATATTATTAACGAGTTTGAAATTATTAAGCTAAAAAATAAGATAAGATTTTTTTTTTTAATAGTTAACAAGTTTTATTTCAAGACTTAGGATTAGTCACTAACGCATTTAAAAAAATTTTAAATTCCGAAATGACCTGTTTTGTTTAAATTTCTGGTTTCAGTTTTGATGAGAAAATCGACTTAGTATTCTAGACTTAAAAATTGAAAATTCGTTTTAAGGGGCTCAAGAATGAAAAAAACACATCAGATAAAGTGTTTGTAAATTAATCACACTGTCCTTAACAACACCGCCTCTCAAAAACAACAGAAAACAATATCAGCGCTCAGCTTAAGGTGTATAAAACCAGGTAAACTTTGTTTAATTTTCGTTGCCTCTTCTTTTTGTTTTTATGGTTAAATCGGGTCTTTTGTTACGGTGTTTCATGTCTTGCTTTCAAATTCAATGTATGTAATTGTATGGACCCAGCTAAATCAGTTTATACCCAAACGTTAAAGATGAATGTTAGATTTAGCTACGCCCGCTTATTTATGGGCTGTGGATTTAGCTTAAGTGCTTCATTGTTTATCTTCCAACTGGCACTTCGTTACATCTCACCAGTAGGTGTTATAAAGATGGCACGAATAAGAAGACCCTGGAAACTGAAGGAGTCTTTATACCAATGGGGTCCAAGACTAATAGAGTTCAATGGAACTTGGATCACAGGTAAGCCTATGAAACTAAACCCACAAAAAATAAAAGAAGCGAAGTGGTAAAATGTTCCCTATTTAGTTCATGCGCATTTATGTTCATCGAATTTCGAATTAAATTTGATGAACATCGGATAAATATGTATATCATGTCGCTACCACAGGAAAGATCGAAAAATCTATATAGAATTAACGGAAATAAAATTATAACATCGTTGTTTTTCATCAGATAATCATAACTTTTGGAATATAGAGTTTTCTAGCGACTCTTGAATACCGAATCAAATTTTATCAAAATCGGAGGACTATATCATATAGCCGTCATATGTGCAATAGTCGAAAATATGGAAAATGAATAGAAAAATCGTCATAGCTTCGATGCTCCTTAACCCTTACGTATTTTGTTTGACATATTTGATGACTGCAAGGGTATGTAAGCTTCGGCTTGCCGAAGGTAGCTTCCTTTCTTGTTTTTTTTTTAAGTTTACTAATGAGTACTGACCAAATAGTAAAGGTACCGAAGAAATTTTTTTTTCAAAGCTCTGCACCCAATAAAAAATTTTTTGGTTTCTTTTCAGAAATTTAAGCCACTAAATTTAGACGCAATCGTTTTTTATAGAAGCTTGTAACTCTCGATCGTGTAAAGCATACTTTCAGGCAAGAAAAGATCAAAATATATTTTCTTGCAAAAGGAGCCTTTTTTGAGCATTTTTTTTTTTGCTGCTTTGCGATTTTCAAACGCATAATGCGTAAAAGTTATTATATTTTAAAAGGAGGCAATTGAGATACCACAAGCTATACAGGCTAGATTATAAAATATTAATGTACATTCCCATTGATTTCCATGCATGTGGAGACCCTGAAGTGTGAAGAGCGATCAGGCTGTCTAAAAACAAATAAGCTTTTGAAGATACATATTAAGGCGCTTTCAATGCTCTTGTTCCCTTCAATTGTATAATGGAACGATTCTGATGTGCCTTTGGCGATTCGCGGGGAAACACCACACCGAGTTTAATGGGCTTAATCTTGAGGCTAAACTAAGGTCAATGTGGGTCTGTGCCTTTCGTTAAGAGTGTTGTAAAACTCCGGGCATCTGGCAAGGCCGCTACGAGCTCCACTGGCAGCTCTCTCACGCGCTGGCAGTCTCGCTCTGCCGCAGTCGACGGCAACGTCGACGGAAGCGCTAATTGGTGTGATTGCAATTGATTTTTGATTCTGGCTCAGTCGCTTTAGTCGCTTTTTAGCCGCCGAGGGTTACATTTCGCGGGTTTGTCAACAAGTGGAAATTTTGATAGTTCAGTTTTGACGGTATCCACCATGCACGCGACGACTCTGCTGACCGCCGCGCTCTGCCTGCTTCTCGCAGCCCTTCGCTTCGCCCCTTCTTCGGCGGCGTCAATCGGACGATCGGAGGGAGGGGAGGGGAACCAATCGGCGTGGGAACTGACGGAAGCCCTATATGGCACCTCGGGCCTCCGGAGCTTCAATGGCACCTGGATAACAGGTTGGTTGCTCATCGGAGCGGTTCGATGACCCAGTAACGCGCCCCCTCCGCTCCATCGCCTTGTCACTCGGCGGTTATCATCATCCGAGGAATCTCCCGCGGGGAATTATCATCCGGGGAATTCCTACCCGTAGAGATCGCATTCATCGTCGGCGGGGATTGAACCTTATCAACGAGCTAATTTACTTGTTTTTTCATGTTTCGACTGCGCTGGGCCATTCATTTCGCCTGTCGTAGAACCTCACCGAGAAAAGAAGACATTCTGTAGTATATTGTACTTGCCTTAGCTTAACGACAAAGTCATTCTTTTTCAAGACGATTTGCAAGACCGGATCAAGATGTATGATTTACACTAGTGGTACAAATTCTTCAGCTTTATAGTGGAAATCTAATCTTCAATGAATTATGACCATCAATTCGTACCTCGATAGCGCGATTATATTTTGTTTCTTATCTCCGACCTGTTGTTACTATAATGACAGTGTTTAGATAATGCTTGAAAGCTTTCGATTTATTCTGGTTTAGAACTTGGTACTTGGAAGCGAAAGATAAAATTTGTTGATCGCTGATCGAAGACATACATATACATATATATATTATACATATTTATTTTAAAATTGCAGCCAATTCGTTTGTCTCAATGGTTTCAAACTCATCTTGTAACTTCAAACTTTAAGGTAAAAAGTCTGTTTTGTTTCATATTCGTGGCAAGTTTAAAGTAAATTTAGTTTCCGACGAGACTTCTGAAAAAATAATTGACAATTGCACCTGTTCTGATTTTCGACGCAAAGATTGTATGGCAGGTTGAACTTAGGAAACAAAAAAGAACCTAACGCTGTTCCACATTTCTGTTTTGGGACTTTTAACTAAGACAATGTTCAGTTTGCCTTTTCTGGCACGATATCAAATTCATTGGTATGCCTCTCTCTAAACAGCTAAAGTGAAATTGGCATTCTTTTATGTTTGTAGCTAAGAAGCTGTCAGAGGAGTGGAAAGTTGGGTTTTCAAGCCCTCACGAATGGTTTCAAAATCTTAAGTCTAAAAGTAGTACCATTAAAAATATTATTAAACATCATTCTTAAACCAACTACATGAATCGAAGCATTACAAATGTATAAGCCTTGGCATAAGAGGGGTGTATTAAGCACAAAAGCGTTTGAAAATGTTAATTTCAACTGGTTTTTTCTACCCCTTGCAGATGAAGAGTTTTACTACACTGCCTCCGACCGATCCATTCACAAATTCAACTCGGCCACCAAGACGGACGTGATCTTCCAGAACTCCTCATTTCTGGTAACGTACTTAGCACTCCTATGAAAACACAGGCGATAAGAGCGGTCCACTTTCAGAACAACTACGTGGGGGCCACCTTCTCGCTCTCGCCGGACAATACGAAGATCCTGATCCGGCACAACCTCACCGAGAAGTTCCGGCACTCGTACATCGCGCAGTACGACGTGTTCGACATCGAGAGCAACACGACCGTCCAGATCCACAAGGGCGAGAAGCTGCAGTACTGCGGATGGTCCCCGCTGAGGGACCGCCTGGCCTACGTCTACCTCAACAACGTGTTCATCCACTTCAGCGAGAAGATGGAGGTCAGCATTACGGACGACGGCGTGGACGGGGTGGTGTACAACGGCGTGCCCGACTGGGTCTACGAGGAAGAGGTCCTTAGCAGCGGGAGCGCCTTGTGGTGGTCGGCGGACGCCACCAAGCTGGCGGTGGGCTTCTTCGACGACACAGAGGTGGAGACCTTCAACTACTTTTTGTACGGCGACGGGGACACCACCTTCTACCAGTACCCGCACGAGGAGCACCTCAAGTACCCCAAGTCGGGCTCCAAGAATCCGCTGGTGAGCCTGCGGGTCTACGACGTCACCGACAACGACCCCACCATGCAGCGCATCGTGGCGCCCGTGGAAGTGGTGGGCAGCGATCACATCCTGCAGAACGTGGTTTGGTCCAACGAGACCCACCTGCTCGTCACCTGGATGAACCGGCGGCAGAACATCGCCTCGATTCAGAGCTGCAGCTACCAGGGCGTCTGCGCGGAGGTCAAGAGGCTGGAGGAGCCGCTCGGCTGGGTGGACATCAGCACGCCCAAGTGCCTCAGCACCGGAAAGAGCTGCATCTTCGGGTACTTCATCGACAACTGGCAGCAGGTGTGGAACTTGGACCTGGAGACGGGAGTCAACAGTTGGCAGTCGCGCGGTAACTTCACTGTTCTGACCGTCTATGGATACGATGAAGCGAGGGACAAGCTGTGAGTATGGAATATAGTATTTATATACTATATCGATATATAGTTGGTAGTATTAGATGAGATCAATTCCACGGAACAGGCACCTTATTCGTGGTATACTAAGGCTGAATCTTTCCTATTAAACAGTTACTACCAAGCCACCCTGCCCGGAGATCCCTCTGTGTACCACGTGTTTGGGAACGACGAGTGTCTCAGCTGCAGTCAAATCGACGTTGACGGCGTGGCCTGTCGGTCCGTATCGGCGACCTTCAGCAAGTCCTTCTCCTACTACACGCTCTCGTGCAACGGGCCCAATCCGAGCTACACGCGCATCTTCGAGGCCACCTCGAAAACGCTCCAGGTCGAGTGGGAGCCAAACACGGCGTACCGCGAGAACTTGAAGCAGAAGCTGCGCCCCAGCTACCGTTTCCTGAACGTCAGCCTGGCCGACGGGAGCGTGGGTTACGCCAAGCTCGCCCTTCCGCCCAACTTCGATTCGGCCAAGAAGTACCCGCTCATCGTGGTGGTCTACCAGGGACCCAACTCGGTGCGGGTGACCAACGCGTTCACGGTGGGCTACGAGGCGTTCGTTACGACCTCCAGGGATACGATTTACGCCTACATCGACGGCCGAGGCACGGGCAACAAGGGCAAGGAGCTGCTCTTCTCGGTGAACAACGATTTGGGTGACCACGAGGTCGAGGATCAGCTGTTCGTCACCCGCTGGATGCAGCAGAACCTGCCCTTCGTGGATGCCGAGCGATGTGGCATATGGGGTTGGAGCTATGGCGGCTACATGACGGCCAAGACCATCGAGAAGGACGACGCTGGGATCTTTCAGTGCGGAGTTTCGGTGGCCCCGGTCACTTCGTGGCTGTACTATGGTTCGTGAAGTAAAACTTGAGCACCTTGAAAAGCAGAAAGTTACCGAGTTTCTCTTCCCATCTAGATACGATTTACACCGAGCGATACATGGGTCTGCCCACGGAGGAGGACAACCTGCAGAAGTACAATGAGAGCAGTGTGTTTGGCAATCTGGAGAACTTCAAAAGCCACGACTTCTTGCTTATTCACGGATCCGGCGACGACAATGTCCACTACCAGCACTCCTTGTTGCTGGCCAAGTTGCTGCAACGACACGATATTGCGTTCGAGGAGCAGGTACTGCAATTGGTCCCATAGCACCTAGGTCACAATACTTTAAAATGCATGTACATCTTTTTAGACTTATACTGATGAGAACCATGGAATCGGCAACGCGCTGCCCCATTTGTACCATACCATTGATGCCTTCTGGACCAATTGCCTTAACTTAGATGTCTCCGCAGACTCTGAGTAGTGAAAAGATAGCAATTTATCTAGTCAAACATAGGTTTTTAAAAATAGTGTTTTTGTACTTTTGTATCCACGTTCTATTAAAGATATATTGTTAAATGTTTAATATATAATGCAGTGCATATTGGCGAAAAACTGACAAGGAGTAGGAGCGCTTAACGGATTCGCTTCCCTACTCGTAAAAAGGTTAATACCAATATTGTTGATCAGGATTATCAAACTAGTCGATATAGCCAGTCTGTCTGTCCGTATTAATATCGTAATCTTGGAAAGTATGAGAGCCACAACCAAACACTGGGGATAAACAGCGAAAATTTATTTCTCATTCGCGCTTACAAATCGTGAAATTCTTTGGCAACTACATTTTTCTAGGTAAAATAATGGACTTGTTATGCAAATTCTACTAGTGTCTACGCCGTAGAAATAGTTAAAACAAAATTTCTTCATCAAATTCTCTTTATTAATGACGAATTTGCGAAGATTTACACTGAAACTGAGGACTTAATCGATTTATAAAAGCTTTGAGCCTCTCCAGGATGTAATTAAAAAATTGTTATTTTGCATATAAGGGAACTCGAAAAATTTGTTAATGAAAACATCGAAATTTGAGACCCATTTAAACACTTTTTGCCCACCTTTTTACTAAGGACTGTAAAGCATATTAGTTTTATTTTTTATGAGAGCTATTAAATACAGATGCATTAATAGTTCAACTAATCCAAGATATACATATCAAACTAATAAATTTTTATGTTGGTAGACCTCCGATATGGATTAAGCAAGACCAAGATATTAAAATGTTAAATATTAATCACAATCAGCGTAGGGTACGTAAACTGAAATGGTACAGAGAAGGATGGACAGACGGTCAAGACTATATCGACCTGTTCAGTGAATCTTATCATGTGAAATGATTCACTTTAATTAAGTTATGAAAATACAAACAAAACCCTATTGATTTGATAACGTCAAATTGAAGTGGTTCATGCGTTAGCAATCAGTCGACATTGAACTCCTTGAAGAGATTCCTTTCTTTCAGACTTTGTATCTTAACGCATCTCAGTCAGCATCAAGTGCCCGGAAACTAAATTTAATAATCGCTGCATTTTAAAGCGAATAAGAGCTCTCATCCAATTTCCCGGCACGGATGGGGATTAGCCCCTCCATAGCCTTCGCTAATCGGGGTGTCATTCCGCTTTGGTGGCTGCTGTTTGCCTCCCGGATTAAGTGCGCTACTAATTGCGTATTGTGGCGATCCACACGCTCTGTGGAGATGTCACGAAAACGATGCAAACTTTTAAACTCTTGCGATTGGCCAAGCATGAAATTTCATTTTGTTCCGACCATTGTTTCTACATAAATAAAGCTTGTGTCCTATCAAGTTTAGCAGATGGCAACATATTAAAAAATGAATTCAACGAATATTTCAAGATATTTTTTACCACTGCCCTTAAGATATTAAAAATTAAACGATTTAGTGTTGTTCAGTGTGCTAAGCATTGGTGAAAATATTTAGAACACTTAAAGAATCCAGGATTTACATTTACATTTTTTTGACTGTATACCTTTGTATCTTTCCTTTCTTAAATACAGATTCAAGGTTAATGATTACACCTTAAGTCAATGCCCAGGTCATTTTAGACTCATTAAACTTTGCTTGAATAATTGTTACGTGTTTATACTCCTATAAATGGATTTATCCGCTGATTGAGCTTAGCTTAATCAACTTTAATTTTTGGCTTAATGGTTGCCGACCTAATAGCAGAAAGGCATGGCAACAGGATCAAATTGCTCTCCACAATTTCCTTCATACTTGTTCTCGTATAATATGATTTTACTCGGCACTGAAGTCATAAATTTTCATTTGCCACGTTAAAGTAGCATGTCGAAAACAATTTTATCTTCTTCTCCCTCTCCGATGCTGCACGTTATAACCGACCTGTTGTTACTATAATGACAGTGTTTAGATAATGCTTGAAAGCTTTCGATTTATTCTGGTTTAGAACTTGGTACTTGGAAGCGAAAGATAAAATTTGTTGATCGCTGATCGAAGACATACATATACATATATATATTATACATATTTATTTTAAAATTGCAGCCAATTCGTTTGTCTCAATGGTTTCAAACTCATCTTGTAACTTCAAACTTTAAGGTAAAAAGTCTGTTTTGTTTCATATTCGTGGCAAGTTTAAAGTAAATTTAGTTTCCGACGAGACTTCTGAAAAAATAATTGACAATTGCACCTGTTCTGATTTTCGACGCAAAGATTGTATGGCAGGTTGAACTTAGGAAACAAAAAAGAACCTAACGCTGTTCCACATTTCTGTTTTGGGACTTTTAACTAAGACAATGTTCAGTTTGCCTTTTCTGGCACGATATCAAATTCATTGGTATGCCTCTCTCTAAACAGCTAAAGTGAAATTGGCATTCTTTTATGTTTGTAGCTAAGAAGCTGTCAGAGGAGTGGAAAGTTGGGTTTTCAAGCCCTCACGAATGGTTTCAAAATCTTAAGTCTAAAAGTAGTACCATTAAAAATATTATTAAACATCATTCTTAAACCAACTACATGAATCGAAGCATTACAAATGTATAAGCCTTGGCATAAGAGGGGTGTATTAAGCACAAAAGCGTTTGAAAATGTTAATTTCAACTGGTTTTTTCTACCCCTTGCAGATGAAGAGTTTTACTACACTGCCTCCGACCGATCCATTCACAAATTCAACTCGGCCACCAAGACGGACGTGATCTTCCAGAACTCCTCATTTCTGGTAACGTACTTAGCACTCCTATGAAAACACAGGCGATAAGAGCGGTCCACTTTCAGAACAACTACGTGGGGGCCACCTTCTCGCTCTCGCCGGACAATACGAAGATCCTGATCCGGCACAACCTCACCGAGAAGTTCCGGCACTCGTACATCGCGCAGTACGACGTGTTCGACATCGAGAGCAACACGACCGTCCAGATCCACAAGGGCGAGAAGCTGCAGTACTGCGGATGGTCCCCGCTGAGGGACCGCCTGGCCTACGTCTACCTCAACAACGTGTTCATCCACTTCAGCGAGAAGATGGAGGTCAGCATTACGGACGACGGCGTGGACGGGGTGGTGTACAACGGCGTGCCCGACTGGGTCTACGAGGAAGAGGTCCTTAGCAGCGGGAGCGCCTTGTGGTGGTCGGCGGACGCCACCAAGCTGGCGGTGGGCTTCTTCGACGACACAGAGGTGGAGACCTTCAACTACTTTTTGTACGGCGACGGGGACACCACCTTCTACCAGTACCCGCACGAGGAGCACCTCAAGTACCCCAAGTCGGGCTCCAAGAATCCGCTGGTGAGCCTGCGGGTCTACGACGTCACCGACAACGACCCCACCATGCAGCGCATCGTGGCGCCCGTGGAAGTGGTGGGCAGCGATCACATCCTGCAGAACGTGGTTTGGTCCAACGAGACCCACCTGCTCGTCACCTGGATGAACCGGCGGCAGAACATCGCCTCGATTCAGAGCTGCAGCTACCAGGGCGTCTGCGCGGAGGTCAAGAGGCTGGAGGAGCCGCTCGGCTGGGTGGACATCAGCACGCCCAAGTGCCTCAGCACCGGAAAGAGCTGCATCTTCGGGTACTTCATCGACAACTGGCAGCAGGTGTGGAACTTGGACCTGGAGACGGGAGTCAACAGTTGGCAGTCGCGCGGTAACTTCACTGTTCTGACCGTCTATGGATACGATGAAGCGAGGGACAAGCTGTGAGTATGGAATATAGTATTTATATACTATATCGATATATAGTTGGTAGTATTAGATGAGATCAATTCCACGGAACAGGCACCTTATTCGTGGTATACTAAGGCTGAATCTTTCCTATTAAACAGTTACTACCAAGCCACCCTGCCCGGAGATCCCTCTGTGTACCACGTGTTTGGGAACGACGAGTGTCTCAGCTGCAGTCAAATCGACGTTGACGGCGTGGCCTGTCGGTCCGTATCGGCGACCTTCAGCAAGTCCTTCTCCTACTACACGCTCTCGTGCAACGGGCCCAATCCGAGCTACACGCGCATCTTCGAGGCCACCTCGAAAACGCTCCAGGTCGAGTGGGAGCCAAACACGGCGTACCGCGAGAACTTGAAGCAGAAGCTGCGCCCCAGCTACCGTTTCCTGAACGTCAGCCTGGCCGACGGGAGCGTGGGTTACGCCAAGCTCGCCCTTCCGCCCAACTTCGATTCGGCCAAGAAGTACCCGCTCATCGTGGTGGTCTACCAGGGACCCAACTCGGTGCGGGTGACCAACGCGTTCACGGTGGGCTACGAGGCGTTCGTTACGACCTCCAGGGATACGATTTACGCCTACATCGACGGCCGAGGCACGGGCAACAAGGGCAAGGAGCTGCTCTTCTCGGTGAACAACGATTTGGGTGACCACGAGGTCGAGGATCAGCTGTTCGTCACCCGCTGGATGCAGCAGAACCTGCCCTTCGTGGATGCCGAGCGATGTGGCATATGGGGTTGGAGCTATGGCGGCTACATGACGGCCAAGACCATCGAGAAGGACGACGCTGGGATCTTTCAGTGCGGAGTTTCGGTGGCCCCGGTCACTTCGTGGCTGTACTATGGTTCGTGAAGTAAAACTTGAGCACCTTGAAAAGCAGAAAGTTACCGAGTTTCTCTTCCCATCTAGATACGATTTACACCGAGCGATACATGGGTCTGCCCACGGAGGAGGACAACCTGCAGAAGTACAATGAGAGCAGTGTGTTTGGCAATCTGGAGAACTTCAAAAGCCACGACTTCTTGCTTATTCACGGATCCGGCGACGACAATGTCCACTACCAGCACTCCTTGTTGCTGGCCAAGTTGCTGCAACGACACGATATTGCGTTCGAGGAGCAGGTACTGCAATTGGTCCCATAGCACCTAGGTCACAATACTTTAAAATGCATGTACATCTTTTTTAGACTTATACTGATGAGAACCATGGAATCGGCAACGCGCTGCCCCATTTGTACCATACCATTGATGCCTTCTGGACCAATTGCCTTAACTTAGATGTCTCCGCAGACTCTGAGTAGTGAAAAGATAGCAATTTATCTAGTCAAACATAGGTTTTTAAAA